AGCCACTATAGACGACAAGAGAATGAAAAGACTCACAGAGGCTCCAAGACACAACGCCATCGGCCCTTTACAAGGACGGGCATAGCAGCAGCAGGTGGCAAGGCACTTCAGCGTGTCCAGAGAGACCATCTCAAACCTATGGACCCGATACAACAATACTGGGAGTGTGAAAGACAGACCCAGGCCAAGGCCGCCCAAGATCGCAACAACCGGTTGAGACATCTTCGTTCAAACATCACGGCCGCATCATCCACAACAATCCAAATCCCTAGACTGCACCGAATCTCCGACCAGACAGTGCGCAATTGGCTATGGGAAGCCAGACTTTTTGCCAGAAGACCAGTTCAGCGTCACCTCATTTCCTTCATCAACGTCACAGGTTGATCTTTGGAGCATGACAATGCTCGACCTGACGTTCCACGTGTTTGACAGGATTTCCTCCAGCAAAACAATGTTCAGGTATTACCTTGACCTTCTCGATCACCCAATTTGCCCCCCATTGAACATCTATGGGGTACTCTTGATCGACGCTTGCGCCAACGTAATCCGCCACAACAACTGCACACAGCACTTCAGTAAGAGTATCAAAACATTCCTGAAGACAGCATTCGGCATCTCCTTTCTTGTATGGGTCATCGCTGCCAAGCTGTTATCGATGCTCATGGAGGTCACACCAGATACTTTACTCTGACCAAGTGGCTTTAACAGCCATCTGTGGTTTTACCAAACACTTTCTGGATAATCATGCTTTGGAAATCTGTAAAGTGATGATTTTACTGTAATTGAGCAATGATGTCATGTTCGAATCAGTTATATGCATTCAGTAAATCCAATACAGCATGTATAGTTTCTTCTTCTTTTTTTAAGAGTATATATAGGTCTTGCTTTGACTACAGTCAGAAATATCCCAGTTTCATCAGGGTAGACTGTACGTTATTTCATTTGTTATTTCACTAATCCCATTGCGAATGTAAGCTTTGTTTTCACCTAGACGCGTCATCATATCCCAGTGGTCTGGAGTGTAACTTGCCACATCAACCCTGAGCTTTTCTGGTCCGTTAAAAGCCGGGTGTTTTTTGTATTTTTGACAAGTGTACGGTCGTTATTCGATCTGAAAACATCATAGAGCGATATTTAGAAAACAAAATGTGAGATTTAGTATACTGGCCGTGAGAACGTGATTATCATTAAAGGAACGTGAAACTAACGGCAAATAAGTGAAAATTTACTGGTTTGAAACGTGCGTGTTACAATGTGTCCGAACTAAGATTGTTTTCCTGGAATACCCTAGTACCGTCAGCCTCTTGTCTTATCACCTTCTGATGTTTGCTTTAAAAGATATAACTTTAAATGATTATCACCTATCGAGCTTTATACATAATAGTGAGAGTGAAGTGTCTAGGGATCCAAGGTGGTATTATATAGTATAGTATATAGTGGGAGTGAAGTGGAATATGTGATGACTAGGGGATCCAAGGTTTTATCTTATAAATTAGTTTTATTGCTACTGTTACCATAGGACTCTGACATTTCTCAAAAGTCTTCATAAGAAATTAAAGAAACACTAGAGTGTTGGCGTTCCGTGAAGACATTATTTCAATTATGCAAAAGGCAGCTTAACGAATAGGTGCATTGTTTCAATAATTGTCGAAGGAAAACAGTTTCTTTCATCTTAAGGCCAGACCAATTTTATTTCTTGTTTTACGGATTTTTGTCCTCAGAAAACCTAAAGGCAGGAGGGAAAAAAAAATAATTAAAATCACCAGTCAAAGTAATATTCCTTTTAAATACTCCAAATATGTTATTTTTGGCAATTTATGAAGTGTATATGTGGCAAACAACAATCTAAAAACAAAATTTCTTGTATGTTTACATTTTTGGCCAATAAGAACATTTGAATTTTTTTTTCGAGCGGGAAAATTATTTATTTATTTTCTCATTCTTAAAGACAGGCCGATCCGTAAAACAAGAAATAAAATTGGTCTGGCCTAAGCGGCCACTTTCACGTCAGTTCCAACTGGCAATCTTCGTTTCCATGCACATCGTATATTTAAATGTCCACAGCAACATGTGCTTGTCATATGAAATGATGGCATCGACAGTTATCGGGGACTTGGTGTGATTGGTTGCTTGGTTTGTTTTTAACGCCGCATTCAGCAATTTTCAAGCTATATGGCGGCGGTCTATAAATAATCGAGTCTGGACCAGACAATTCAGTGAACAGCATGAACATCGATCTACACAATTGAGATACGATGACAAGTGTCAACCAAGTCAGCGAGTCTGACCACCCGGTCCGGTGAGTCACCTTTTACGACAAGCATGGGTTGTTGAAGACAGATTCTAACCCGGATCTTCACGATAGACTAGGTAGACACTGCTTAAACGCCAAAGCATCTCAGGCCGCCTCCGTGGTGTAGTGGTTAGAGCGTCCGCCCGGAGAGCGGAAGGTCGCGGGTTCGATCCCCGACCGCGTCATACCCAAAGACGTTAAAATATGGTACTTGTTGGTCCCTGCCTGGCGCTCGGCATTAATGTACAACAAGGACTGGTCGGCTCGGAGTCAGTATAATGTGTCTGAGTGGGGTATTCATGCTTCACTGCGGCATGGTATATCAGTGGGCTAGCACTATAAAACCAGCTTCAGTCTGGGCTAGTACAAGCAGCCGCACATACACATACACACGCATGCACGTCGTCATATGAGCGAAATATTCTCAAGCACGACGTTAACCCCAATTTCACCTCACCTCACCAAAGCATCCCACATTAACAATGTGCTCGGGGCGTTGATTTTCTCGCATCAACAACACGATAACATCTCAGGGACAACGACTTTTATTAAGAGAAATGTCTCTTTAGTAGTGACTTTAATAGCTTCGTGTACTTTCTTGGCTTCCATCCGCCATCTCCATACATCTGGTCAATAGGCTGGTCCTACTAGCAATTCTCATCTGTAGCATTTAAATATATATTTTGCAATATATGGCAGAGTACACATCAAACCCATTCCCAGCCCAACCCCTGTGGTGTTACTATTGACATTCGTCTCAACCGACCGGTGTAGCATTTTATGGGCGTGTTGTATATACCAGCTGTATGTTACCCATCTGTTTGTGACCATTACCGAACTTTCTAAATAAATCTGCAAATGGGGAGATCTCTTACGCCATTTCCCTTTTTTCATTAAAAGATAAAATACAACCTAAGACATGATAAACACATTGTGGGGAAATATTACTGAAGAACCTAGGCAGCTACTGGTGGGTTGTTGGCACTATATTGATATAAGTCCTGTGAGTTTCCAAAAACAATAACACGGACGTACAAGGTGTTGTGAAACATAATATACTGTGAATTCAACATAACCGTTTCAGACCTTTAGTAGGTCTAACTGAAAGTCTCAAAATAACAGAAATACAGAGCCCCTCCTTGTTTGATTACATTAAGCAAAATTAACGGTTAAGGGATCCAGTCTCAAACTAATATCCAGAGCTATCCAGTTTTTGATAACGCTAACCAAATTGAACGGTAAACTGACATCAATGGTCTATCGTGTGGTGCCACACGGGGTCCTGACACTGTAACGACATAGATTCTGAGTAAATAGAGTAACCACTAGTTAAAACATATTTCTACTTCGAAATACAAGAAATGAGGATCGGTGAACAAGCCAAGGGCTTATTTAAAATTTTGGTGACATCATAAAATAATCATTTGAGTGTTGTTGGCAAGTGTAATCAATATAGCAATTATAATGTCGTATATCAATCAAAATTATGGCAGTATATTAAAAGGTATATGGCAAAATTACCTAATTACATGTATGTTTCATATCTTTACATCTTTGCGAAATTTTGGAGTTATGTGTTTCATATCTCAGTATTATACAAAAACAGGAAATCTACCTGATAAAAGCTGTGCACTGATTTCAATATTTCCATATTCGTTTTTAAGTTTGAGCTGAAATGACCGTATAGGACAGATTTTAAATCAAAGTTTTTCACAAAGCAATACAAATCTTGTCTGATCAAGTCATAATCGAGGTAGACAAAGAAATAATGTAGATTGTCTTCAGTATGGTAGCCACAGTTACACATTGGTCTCTCAGCTATATATGTATTAAATTTGTCGGCGTTGAGATCACTGCAACGAAGTTGGAGGTGGGAGTGAATGATTTGACAGAATCGTGAACCGTAGTTAAGATCGAAGTAATTTGTTTTAGTAACATTGTCCTTTTTGTCATCTCTTTTTGAATTCGCCAAGGGATGGAGCGCTTGTACTGTCTGAGGGTAGAGTATTCCAGATATTGACTGTGTCAGGAAGGAATGATTTGACATAGTTACTAGTTCTACAATTAATACTTTGGAAGTTTGGATTGTTTCTTAAATTATAAGTGGTTGAATCAGATACTTTATTTGGTAAAAGAGATGACAAATAAGGAGACACTAGATTATTTTCCATTCTATAAAACATACATATCTTTTGAGAATGTCTCCTTTTCTCCAAAGAGGTACGATTTTGTTTCATTGTATAGTTTATCATGACTGGTGCCACGGACAGCTCCACATATAGTTCTGACTGCATCGATCTGTAACTTTCCAAGGATAGGTTTTTGTTCATTTGTACAATTGTGCGAAATATGGCTGGCATAATCAAAAATAGGGAGTATAAATGATTTGTACATAGTTTCCCGAGTCCTTCTGTTGAGGCGATACTTAAAACTTCTCAGACAGTTCATTATGGTGCCAACTTCTTTGAAATGGTTTCGATATGACTATGCCAGAGGCCATCTTGTTCAAATGTTGCTATGTGTTTATCACTTTGTCATTCCTCCTCCCGGTCAGATATTTTTGATAAATCCTCATTTAAACAAGCCGCAGCTTTTCTGGGTCATGGATTATTACATAAAGCGACGTGTCGTCCGCGAAAAGTCTTATATTGCTATCAATGTCATCAACAATATCATTATGTAAAGCATGAAAATAGCGGACCGACAACTGATCCTTGAGGGACACCTGCTAGAACTGGTCAAAGGCCGGATTTATAACCATTTATAACAACGCGTTGACATCGATTTTCTAAGTAACTTTTAAACCATAGTAACAAGTTGCCGCTTAAACCATATGATTTAAGTTCATAAAGTATACCTTTGTGCCATACCTTGCCAAAAGCCTTATTAATGTCACAGAAAACGGCCCTTACTTCCTTTCCTTTACCCTTTTCTATGGCGATGAAATCGTACAGATACGTTAGTTGATTTGTAGTTGAATCACCCGACATGAAACCAGATTTGAAGTTCATGATTAACTTATTATCTCTTAGATAATTGGAAACATATTTAAACATACATTTTTCGAAAATCTTTGCAAGACAACTTGTCAGTAACCACTACACTGATATACTTTGTGAGATTTGAGTTTAGAGCAACGAATACAGGTTTCGAAGACTTAAATCGTGCTAGGACTGTCAGCTAACCTCAGTCTGGACAATATAACAAGATTTGTCCTGAGAGAAAGCGTGATAAAGCAAGATTCAAAGTTGACATTCAGTCAGGAATCCGTTTGTGGGTAATACAGCCGCCCCACGTCTCGTAGATGTAGACGTAGAGGAAGTATATGCATGTCGCGTCTTCCTTGCACACGACAGCACAATCATCCAATATATCAACGCTTTCTTCTGTTATAACCTGCCCACTGATCCCACGCCTTTCGAAGACACATCCAGGGAAGCCAGCTGCAAACATACAACATATAATATACACACTTAGTCTTTCATTTTCATTTTGTTTATAGTATTAATGAATTGTACAGCTTGGGAATATTCTACTCAAGCTGGGTGAAAAACGGGATTTTACAGCACTGTATTTAAGAGCAAAGGTCAAAGTGGTGATCAGATGTCACGAATCGATGGAGCGGGAGTGTGAAATGTGTTCTTATGAAATTAACTTTACGTATACAATGGCATGAAGCACGTCTGTCAATGGACTCAATTGTATGTCTCCGAAAAGTATATAAAGGAGAATACTAGCCAATTTCAATAATTTGCTGAGTGAAAAATAAAGTCATCAGGAACATGTACCCAAGTTTTTAATTAGAAAATATGGTTATTTATGTTTTATTCGCGAAAACAGTTTCTGTTATCTGAGCTTCGACCATTATGCATATTCCTCTGGAACTCACGTGACCTTTCCGCTCGTGACGTCATATGTGACTAGCGTCCGCCATATTGTTAGACCAAGTGCTACAATAATACAAATCGTGTTGTTTCTGTCGTTTTTGTAAATGATACGATAGTGTATTTCGTTGCCTGGGGATGCCCGACATCATCGAACAATGGAAAGAGCTACAATTTCTTCCGTTTTCCGTGGGTTTTTTTTTCTTCACAAAATAAGACAGCATTTACTCAGCAAAAGACACACACAATATTGTTCTCTAGAGCTTTTGTAATCGATGAAGAGGGTAAATGTATAGTGACTGTCAGGAAAGGAAATCACACTGGTAAAAAAGGCAATCAAAGTAGTGTCAGTATCGTGTGTGACCCCCGTCAGACGCTAGTACCGCTGCACAACGTCCTCTCATTGACCTCAAGACTCAAGAACAAAGAATCGTACCGGAAATCGACGCCATTGATTCACTAAATCACGTCCCAGATCCTGCAACGTCTGTGGTTGAACCCTTTGCATGCGTAATCGCCTCGATTAGGTTGAGGTCAAGTGAGCGAGATGGCCACTCCATGACGTCAACACCAGCATTTTGCAAAACGTTTCTGGTTAAAAACGCAGTGTGAGGTGTAGCGTTATCATGCTGAAACGTAAGACCTGGGCCATGCTTCCTGTAGAAAGGAAGACGAAAGGGAATAAGAATCTGAGCACTGTATTCTCTGGGAGTTAGGTTGCCTTGAACAATCATGAGTTGAGTACGTCAATTTGCCATGAAGGCACCCCACACCATGATGCCTCCACCCCCGAACCTGTCAACTTCCCTGACGCAGCACTGAGCATGTCGTTCCGCTCTGCGATGCCATACCCTCACTCTTCCGTCGGCAAAACGCAATGTGAAACGTGATTCATCACTAAAGATTACTCTGTTCCATTGTCTTTGGGTAAATCGCAGGTGACGTCGCGCCCAAAAAGGACGTTGGCGTCGATGAACAGGTGTCAAAATGGGTCCAGTGTATGGTCTCCGGGCTCTAATGCCTGCACGTCGAAAACGATTGCGTATTGTCTGTGGTGTCACTCTACCATTGAAGATTTGTCTACTAGTGGAAGTATCGTTCACAAATCGATAACGAAGATGACGCAGCCGTCATCTCGTTGTGGCGTCACACGGGGCGCCCCTGGCTGTGGGCGATCAGCTGTTGATCCTGTTTGAAGCAGGTTATGAATTGTCTGTCTACTGCATCCAAAGGCACGTGCAACATCCGTGACAGACTGTCCAGCGTTCAGCCTACCAATGGCGCTCTACCGGTCCTGATTTGACAGTCTTGGCATTTCAACAATTTTTAAATTATTCCAATTTTAAATTGTTTTCCTGAATTACCTTCAGCCGTACAGACAAACACTTTCCTGATTGATTGCAAATTTGGCGGGGTAACACCAAGGTTTGTGTTTTTCCACGTTTTTTTTTATTTGCAAGTGCAATAAAGGCATTTGGTGAAATGTTTGGCTGTTATGCAGCAAATGGTTATTGACAATGTTCACTGACTGTACAATATTTCCAAATTTGCATTCGATTTTTTCCACCTCAGAAAATACAAGTGTCAAGTTTCTATTTCTGTTCAATATATATCATCAAAATCAGTAAGAGATTTCACATAAGCTTGAAAATGTTTCAATATATATTTCGTTCCGGTTTGGAGTCCTGAATGCTGTAGTCTACCCGACAAAATTGCCGAATACAACGGCAAATCATGAAGTACTTGTTACATTCATTGTTTTCTATTTTGTCCAATTACGCACGTCGGCATCAGACTCGCTATTTGTCAGTAGTGTTTGCTGTATTCCCATTGGCTGACAAGATGTCATTCTAAGGTTATGACCGAACACAATAACTATTTACATATGCAAACACTAGGGAAATATACATTGTCCTGACTAGTATTATATAATTCATCAGTTTTCGTGGAATAACTTATCTGCGTCGCTTATATTAACTCTGCTCGACCAGGCTGGGATCTTGTATGGAAACGTGATACGTTATTGATTACTAGGATCCTAATTTTTTTTCAACAACATATTTCCAGTGTATGGAAACGTGATACGTTATTGATTACCAGGATCCTAATTTTTTTTCAACAACATATTTCCAGTGTATTGTTTGTAGAAGATAATGTATATTTCCCCCGTCTGAAAAATAATCATTTTTTTAAATCCCAGACACCCTGCAGTCACCTATTTGACACAAAAGGAACTGAAACCACATTTCAAAAACATATTTTTTTAGGGACTGGTCATTTATCTATAGTGGTGGGCTTGCCTGCTGAAACTGTCACATTTTAAAAATTATTTTGATATCAAGCGGTGCTTCCGTTTCGCGTGATTCTTCTTCATCATCTGCATTGGCTTGCAAGATGTAACATCGGATCGTATTGATACGGTGTAACATCCATTTCAGAAATGACATCAGGATAATCTTTTATTGCTTCAGAATCCATGGACACTGTTAAGTTGTGAGGTAAAATCAAAGAGGCAGCCATCAGCAACATGCACATATGACGTCACATCACGTCACGCCCTCTGCTCATTAACTGTCGGGTGTTTCCGTAATAGGCGGAAATAGTACGTTTGTTGTGTGTTTATTGCTATTTTACAAATTTATTGTTCAATTTTAATCACGGAAGGTGACTTTTAGAATGCCTTTAAAAGGCATCTATTAAAAGTTTTGTTTTCGTTAGTATTCTCCTTTAAAGGGGCACTGATCCAGAGCAATTTCCGTGGACTGGTTGTTGCTTGTTTTTTCTCCCGTGAGTACACGGATGATATCCCAGAATTCATGACGGGTTCGTTACCTCTGCTGCGCCACCCTCATACGCAATTGATAGTATAAGTATAGACTGATCAACAAAGATGAAATATTTTTTACTCGATAATGTTATGTTGATTTTGTTGTATAATTATGTGGACTTTGTTGAATAATTTGGTTTCTTATAAAAAATATATTCAGTTTGATAAAAATGCTGATTTTGATGTAAAATTTTTATTTCATAGTATAAAAATGTTAACGTAAATGGATGTAGAATTTGATTTAAGAAATAGTTTGACCTTGAATTTGGTGAGAAGCCTGATCTAATAGCATTGTTTTGAAAGTAAGGCTAACTAAATCTTCTGGGGAGAGTAGTGAGGTCGGGTTCACTACTAGTCAATCTGAATGTTGTATTAAATGACATTATTTTGATAACAAATGAAAACATTTTAAGTTTAACCATCTGCCAGTGGTACAAAATGTTAGGACTGAAATAGCGACGTCAATGTACGTCGTTATATTTTGTCTTATAATCCTAATTAGTTTATTATGATATTTGTATGCAGTTTGAAACTTAATAAAATGCACACGATCTGGTTATACTTAGTGAATTTATAACATGACTGTAATATCTGGACATCTTATAGATTGCCAACATGTATCATATTTCACACACACGCCCTAAGTGCGACCTAGTGTATGTTGTCTGTCTCATTACACTTCACAACAACAAAAATGATTCTGTTGAATGCCATAACAAATAAATAAAAACAAAATGCAAATATTCAAATTAAAACAGACTAAAGTTATAGCAACAATATCAGGCTATAACCTTGTTAGGGGAATGTATCCATCAATATCCACATAAAGGAATGAGATGCCATTCATCTGCAGCTGACAAAGTATCCTGTTCAATGTCATGTGTCTTTTAACAGTCTAATATGTGAAAAAGTGATCTATCGTTTCAGGTTTTTCATATTGGTATATAATCCCATTGGTCACCCAAGATAGCACACCTGGCAATTAATTGCATGATGTCTGACATTCTTTAAAAAAGTAATTTAGTTAGCCAATAATGAGCAATCAATCAATGCATTGGCGGTTAATCCTTTGAAGGAATGACGTTGTTTTCACAAGGAGACTTTACGACAGGGTGTATTCAGTGTAGAATAGTAAATCTACATTCTTAAACACTACCTTTTGACAAATCCGCTGTACAGGATAAAAGCAATTAATCAATCAGCGTGTTATCGGTAATCCTTTGATCGATGTTTGTTTTGTAACTCAGCTGATAATTCCTCTTACTGCACTTCCATGCGCATATTACATAAGATGTAATACATTTGCCACATCAGACCTCCATTTCTAATGATGAGTATTTACTCTAGACACAAGAAATGCCAAATGGGAACCTTTGTCGGATAATCTGAGTGGTGTTATCACTAATTATATCTGTTATAAATTCATTAAATGAACATCAAGTGAATGATGACAAATAACATGTGTAGGTTTACCACCAAACAAGGGTTACAGCAAGAGAGTAGTAATCGCTGTATTGAATGCAATTTTGATTGCCTAAAAAAACAACAACTTATGGGCCGACACTGTTGAGGATACGAACGGAAATTCGTTGTTCCATAAGAAATATATATAAGCATTTGCTGTGTACTTAGTTTGAAACTGTATATACCTATGTACCTAAGTAAAATTTCGGATTTTTTTGGCAATGGCAAAGTGGGGTTGTTTAGTTTATGGATTCAAATATATCAAATGTGTGTTTTGATATCATAGCATACGTAATAGACATCATATATTTCCATGATTAAATATCGAGGTAAAAAACACAGAAATAGAATCAAACTGGATCAATCACAATACCATTGAAACATTTGAAAATCTGAAAAAGCCTACACAGCTGGGATACTTCATTACAATCAGACAAGAACTACCGGGGGTATATTCAAATAACGGCATCTGATTGGCATCCGACCTTCCTAATGTCCAACTGATTAGGTTGAAGAAATTTTGCCAAGGTGGACAGTAGCCCAGTCCTTGAGTCCTTCACGGTCGAGGGAGCAGGATCTGACCAGCTTGCAGCTAGGTTTGGTAATTAGACTGTTGGCGAGAAAGATTAATCGCTTTGAATCAGTGGACCGAATCAGTGGCCCTTTAGCATTTCCTAGTTTACACAGATTTAACATGATAATGATTGTGAACAACCGGACATAGCGAATATGTGCTTTTAGTTCCGACATGCAATGTGATACGAGCCAATTTGAAACAATAAGTATGACAACATTTGTATTAACAACGAATTCATCTTTATATACTCATGCCAATAATGGTTGTCACCCTCCCCAACCCCCACCACCACCTCACACCTAAAAGAATTGAAGGGGGTGACAACCATTATTGGCATGAGTATATTTAGATGGTACTTTGGGCTTGCCCAACCTTTTCAGCAACAGCCATGTGTAAGCCCGTGCTTTTTTCTATAACGGTAGCTACGACCCTTTTAAACAACTCCAATACCAGTGGCTCTGATGTCTACTGCAAATCTGAAAGGTGTCTCACAATTTGGTGCTTCAAGAACAGAAGACCTCATGAGAATGTCTTTAATTTTTCCAAAGTAGTCTCATAATTGCTATCACAAACAACTTTCACAATTTTGCTCTACAAATTAGTGAGAGGGTCTACCACATGAGGGAACATTTGTTGGGCTGTACCTGAAACTGGCCTACGGTATGACCTACACTATTATATTACGCCTCCTGACAAATTATAATTCCCAGACAAGACATGTGTCTATCACGTTCCCATCGCCAACTCCACTCCCTACTGTACACATTTCTGTTTGTAATATTCACGACTTCAACGTACACTCTGCATCTACCAATTGCTCCTCTCAACTAGAAAACAACTTGTTGCTAAATGGGACATTTCTCCGTTATTTCATTGGCCTAACACGTGTTCCTCTGTAAAATCCGATCCCTTCGTCATGATTACTTTGACCCACACGGACGCAAATGTTTGAAGATAAAGTACATTAATGCCACATACAGATTAACTCATCATTGGTGTCTAAGTACTCCAAAGCAAGAGACACGTCAAGAGGAAACCAACGTATATTGACAATTATTAAATGGTATGCAACAATGCTTTGATAGTAGTGGTATATGTAATGTCACAAGAATGCTGTAGTTACTGGAAGCCCATGAAAATCCTAAAGGTGAAACTATTCGTTGTTTTAATGTAACTTTCAGTTTGATCTTTGTTTGAAGGTGAAATACCCGGTCTGCGTGTTAATGCTTCAAGAAGTTTCAACAGATCTTGATAGCAAAGAAGTACCATTTTCCAAATCCGGTTGTAGAAACACGACAATCGGGGTGTAGTGCGACTTGCTGGTATTTGCCCTAAATAAACCGGAAATTTGTTTTCAACTGAAAACACCCGGGATTTTTCTGACCAATCTGATGTCGTCATGTGGATTATCTTTTGAACCACTGGTTCTAGAACTGCTGCTCCTTGGCTGTCCAAATGACGGTATTTCTGTTGATCTCGACCGTGGGATAGGCAATGCCCTGACAATCACAGCTCTCTGACGCTGGGTGTTGTGGCCAAAGGTGAGCCGAGACGCCGGCTTTTGCATGTGAACGCATCCATTAACTGCATTGTTATGAAGGAGCTTAACGTGTTCGGTCGAATTTTCGCTTCAACACAGCTGTCGCAATCTTTTTTCACAATACTAGGTTTATGACAGATTTTAAAATTCTGTGTTCAAAATAACTTGCTATTGAAACTAAATATGCATGATTCCTAAGACGGGGGTGAATTTGAATTTGAATGCATTTGAATGCATGACTTCCTCCGTCCTCGGCTAAATTGAGCATTTTTACACACACACACACACACACACACACACACACACACACACACAAATTGTGCGTTTTGTTTATGGTGTATCAATGCGTTTTGTTGATGGTGTATAGCCTGATAGGTGTTAAGTTCAAATTACATGTGGTCAGTGATCCAAGTTGTGTATTGCATATTGTAATTAACAGACAGGAAGGCAGACACATAAGTGTCAATAAAAATTGAGTTTTGTCTGTGACAGAGGCATATCTATATAACAGTTAGAAATTCTGACAATGCTAAATAATGAGGTTGATGTTAAGTATCGAACTTAAAAGTGACTCGGTAAGAAGAACGTGTGGTGAAATAGTCAAATAAAATTATATAAACAGTTAAATCGGTATTCTCCTGTCATAACATATAAAAAGCTCGCGACTGTGAAATATCAAGAAAACATTAGAAATATAGCTCACATCAAAGCCTACTCCGAGACATCCCGCTTCCATGAGCGCAGTGCAGCACAGCACAGCTGTTGAAACCACTTTTCATCCAAGCTTGGATGAGTTTACTGAATCGTTTGAACTCCGATTTTGCTGGGGTTTTTTCATCGTCACATTATGTAATTACACAGACAGGCAGGTGTGATACTTGTACACATGACATGTTATGATGTCTGTTGATTGCAAAATGCTATACACAAAAATGACCATGTATTTACAAAATCCAACATCTCTATACACACACAAAGAGCCCTGGGTATATCGGCAAATGAACCAGCCAATGAAAGGCTTCGTTACACTTAAATGCACGCCCACCCGCTTTGACTGTGTTCGGTATTCGTTTCGAGGGAACTAAACCCAACTGCAAAATATTGCACTTTTGATTTGCGATTGTGTTTAATAATGTTTTATAATTTTGTTTATTTGTCTTTTCATAATCAGAAATGTATATTATATGTCATGAATTAGTGATAATTGTGTTTTAATTTTGTATGGTTTTTTTGGCTGCATGTGACCTTTAACTTTAGTATTAGAGTTGCTACAGACTAGAGTTTTGTTGTTGTTGTTGTTTGTGTGGGTTATATTTGTTTGTCATTTTAGTTGTTGTTTTTATTTAGAGTCGACGTGTAAGAGGCGACTAACGGGATCGGGTGGGATGGCTGGCTGACATGGTTGACACATGTCATCGGTTCCCAATTGCGCAGATCGATGGTCATGCTGTTGATCACTGGATTGTCTGAATCGATTATTTACAGACCGCCGCCATATAGCTGGTAAATTGCTGAGTGCGGCGTAAAACTAAACTCACTCCCCCACTCACCAGAGTCGACGTCGTGAAATCTAAAGGAAAGATTGTCTTACCAGACATCTCATTCGGTGACGGTACTCACACACTTCTAGAAGGCCACTAGAAAAGTTTCATGCCTACATCAAAGGAAATCTCACATTGATGTGCAATAGTCAAACTATCTATATCTCGAACTGTATTTGAATTAACTTTCAAACTGCTTCCCACAATATTGTGGAGCTTACTCGTGATATAAGAAATAAACTATTATTCCAACGGCATTTAACGTGAGAGCATTTGCGTAATATGTATTTGTGACCAAACCAGAATGTGCGTGTATTTATAGTGTCTAAAAAAAACATACCTTGGTTTGACTCGGTGGAATTCCTTTTTGTGTACCTCAGGAAAGATGGCCAAGCTCTGGGCAGGTCTGTGCAGAAACAAATATGTCCGCGTTAAAACCATTCTCATTTCAAACATATGTTTCACTGTGTCCCTCGTCAGCCAATACAAAAACAAGTAAACCAGGCAACCAAGATCTTGCACTGTTGGGGTAAAGGGTGGAAATTTAATCGTTCGGTTGGCAACTACGCCTTTTTGACAGTATGGTCGTACCAATACTTTTGTACTGTTGCGACATTTGGGGCACCGAAAATCTATCTGGCATTGACAGTGTTCACCTTCGCTTTTTGAAGTCTTTAACCTCACTCAGAAAAAGTACTCCAAATGTCATGTTTGTATGGTGAACTTGGTAGATTCAATCTAACAAATTTAGTTAAAACTAGAATAGAATGTTTTTCTGAAAGATTACTGTCTGGAAAAGCTCTTCTCATGTCCAAGAATAATTACTGATGCTGTACAACGACAATAATTTGGAAAGATGCAAACATAATTTGTAACATTTCTTAAACCATTTTTGATGATCTTGGACTTAGTGTCTTGTGTCATTCGTCAATCAGTTCAACGAGGTCACAACAACTGTGAACCATCGATGTGTCACACATTAATCAACACAACAACTGATTCTGGTGCCAAATGATTTTGATCTCATGATTCTGGCACTTGTCCGTCGCCACAAAGTCACCACATGAGGAGTGCATCATTCTGGCACTCGTCACAATCTCACCACATGGCGAGCTCATCATTCTGACACTTGTCCGTCGCCACAAGATCACCACATGACGAGTTCATCATCATGGCAATCGTCAGACGTCACAAGATCACCACATGACGAGTTCATCATTCTGGCAATCGTTAGACGTCACCAGATCACCACATGACGAGTTCATCATTCTGACACTTGTCCGTCGCCACAAGATCACCACATGACGAGTTCATCATCATGGCAATCGTTAGACGTCACAATCTCACCACATGACGAGTTCATCATTCTGGCAATCGTCAGACGTCACAAGATCACCACATGACGAGTTCATCATTCTGGCAATCGTCAGTCGTCACAATCTCACCACAGGACGAGTCCATGATTCTGGCAATCGTCAAAAACACAAGATCGCCACATGACGAGTTCATCATTCTGGCACTCGTCAGTCGTCACAATCTCACCACATGGCGAGTTCATCATATTGGCTATCGTCAGACGTCACAAGATCACCACATGACGAGTTCATCATTCTGGCAATCGTCAGACGTCACAAGATCACCACATGACGAGTTCATCATTCTGGCACTCGTCAGTCGTCACAGCATCCATGTGTATGTCGTCAATGAGCACAAAGAACGTAATACCTGTCAATGACAGTGTAACTCGTCAAAAACACAAGTTCACCACAACTGGAGCGTCACTCGTCCGATATGAACTACCTTCACTGACAGGTTCACCGACACACAGTGTAGCGTCACTCGTCCGACATGACCTACTTTCACCGACACACAGTGCAGCGACACTCGTCCGACATGACCTACCTTCACCGACAGGTTCACCGACACACAGTGCAGCGTCACTCGTCAGACATGAACTACCTTCATCGACAGGTTCACCGATAAACAGTGTAGCGTCACTCGTCCGACATGTCCTACCTTCACCGACACACAGTGCAGCGTCACTCGTCCGACATGACCAACCTTCATCGACAGGTTCACCGACACACAGTGTAGCGACACTCGTCCGACATGACCTACTTTCACCGACACACAGTGCAGCGACACTCGTCTGACATGACCTACCTTCACCGACACACAGTGCAGCGACACTCGTCTGACATGACCTATCTTCACCGACACACAGTGCATCGACACTTGTCCGACATGAACTACCTTCACCGACAGGTTCACCGACACACAGTGCAGTGACGCTCGTCCGACATGACCTACCTTCACCGACACACAATGCAGCGACTCTCGTCCGACATGAACTACCTTCACTGACAGGTTCACCGACACACAGTGCAGCGACACTCGTCTGACATGAACTACCTTCACTGACAGGTTCACCGACACACAGTGCAGCGTCACTCGTCAGACATGAACTACCTTCATCGACAGGTTCACCGATAAACAGTGTAGCGTCACTCGTCCGACATGTTCTACCTTCACCGACACACAGTGCAGCGTCACTCGTCCGACATGACCAACCTTCATCGACAGGTTCACCGACACACAGTGTAGCGACACTCGTCCGACATGACCTACTTTCACCGACACACAGTGCAGCGACACTCGTCTGACATGACCTACCTTCACCGACACACAGTGCAGCGACACTCGTCTGACATAAACTATCTTCACCGACAGGTTCACCGACACACAGTGCATCGACACTTGTCCGACATGAACTACCTTCACCGACAGGTTCACCGACACACAGTGCAGCGACGCTCGTCCGACATGACCTACCTTCACCGACACACAGTGCAGCGACTCTCGTCCGACATGAAATACCTTCACTGACAGGTTCACCGACACACAGTGCAGCGACACTCGTCTGACATGAACTACCTTCACTGACAGGTTCACCGACACACAGTGCAGCGACACTCGTCTGACATGAACTTCCTTCACTGACAGGTTCACCGACACACAGTGCAGCGACACTCGTCCGACATGACCTACCTTCACTGACAGGTTCACCGACACACAGTGCAGCGACACTCGTCCGACATGACCTACCTTCACTGACAGGTTCACCGACACACAGGGCAGCGACACTCGTCTGACATGACCTATCTTCACCGACAGGTTCACCGACACACAGTGCATCGACACTTGTCCGACATGAACTACCTTCATCGACAGGTTCACCGACACACAGTGCAGCGACGCTCGTCTGACATGACCTACCTTCACCGACACACAGTGCAGCGACACTCGTCCGACATGAACTACCTTCACTGACAGGTTCACCGACACACAGTGCAGCGACACTCGTCTGACATGAACTACCTTCACTGACAGGTTCACCGACACACAGTGCAGCGACACTCGTCCGACATGACCTACCTTCACTGACAGGTTCACCGACACACAGTGCAGCGACACTCGTCCGACATGACCTACCTTCACTGACAGGTTCACCGACACACAGTGCAGCGACAATCGTCCGACATGAACTACCTTCACTGACAGGTTCACCGACACACAGTGCAGCGACACTCGTCCGACATGAACTACCTTCACTGACAGGTTCACCGACACACAGTGCAGCGACGCTCGTCCGACATGACCTACCTTCACCGACACACAGTGCAGCGACACTCGTCTGACATGAACTACCTTCACTGACAGGTTCACCGTCACACAGTGCAGCTACGCTCGTCTGACATGAACTACCTTCACTGACAGGTTCACCGACACACAGTGCATCGACACTTGTCCGACATGACCTACCTTCACTTACAGGTTCACCGACACACAGTGCAGCGACACTCGTCCGACATGACCTACCTTCACTCTCAGGTTCACCGACACACAGTGCAGCGACACTCGTCTGACATGACCTATCTTCACCGACAGGTTCACCGACACACAGTGCATCGACACTTGTCCGACATGAACTACCTTCATCGACAGGTTCACCGACACACAGTGCAGCGACGCTCGTCTGACATGAACTACCTTCACTGACAGGTTCACCGACACACAGTCCAGTGACACTCGTCCAACATGAACTATCTTCACTGACAGGTTCACCGACACACAGTGCATCGACGCTCGTCCGACATGACCTACCTTCACCGACACACAGTGCAGCGACACTCGTCTGACATGAACTACCTTCACTGACAGGTTCACCGTCACACAGTGCAGCTACGCTCGTCTGACATGAACTACCTTCACTGACAGGTTCACCGACACACAGTGCAGCGACACTCGTCCGACATGAACTACCTTCACTGACAGGTTCACCGACACACAGTGCAGCGACACTCGTCCGACATGACCTACCTTCACTGACAGGTTCACCGACACACAGTGCAGCGACGCTCGTCTGACATGACCTACCTTCACTGACAGGTTCACCGACACACAGTGCAGCGACACTCGTCTGACATGACTTATCTTCACCGACAGGTTCACCGACACACAGTGCATCGACACTTGTCCGACATGACCTACCTTCACCGACAGGTTCACCGACACACAGTGCAGCGACGCTCGTCTGACATGACCTACCTTCACTGACAGGTTCACCGACACACAGTCTAGTGACACTCGTCCAACATGAACTACCTTCACCGACAGGTTCACCGACACACAGTGCAGCGACGCTCGTCCAACATGACCTACCTTCACCGACACACAGTGCAGCGACACTCGTCTGACATGAACTACCTTCACTGACAGGTTCACCGTCACACAGTGCAGCTACACTCGTCTGACATGACCTACCTTCACTGACAGGTTCACTGACACAGTGCAGCGACACTCATCTGACATGACCTACCTTCAGTGACAAGTTCACCGTCACACAGTGCAGCAATTTTTGTCTTGCAGGACGTCATCTTGTAGATGAAGGATCCAGAGATGTGCTTCATGTAGGCACATTCCATCCCTTGAGAAAGATCCGGCTGTCCACCCTGCCATGACAGACCATCCGCAGAGTGAAGGATCTGCCCGTCTCCCCACTGGAACTTGCTCAGACTTGCGTTATAGTGAAGCCCGCTCCACACACTGACGGATCTGCAAAATGTTATGACTAGAGTTATAGCGACACCTTAACCAGTGGGCCAGGTTCTACCATTTATTGTGATGCTTCAAGCAGACTCTTCGGGCATTTTAGTGAAGTGTTTAGTAAGGTCCTTGGTCGACAAGGGAGATGATCCGTCTGGACATACTCTCACTTATCAGATTCACGTCCGCTCCAGCAGTCCACGGTTCTGTTATGAAGTTTGTTTCATTGAAAGCACATCAGTAACGTTGAAAACTATATAAATCAACAAGATCTAAGGTTTTTAATATCAGAATCTTCTAAAAAGATAAAAAAGAGACTCATTCTGAGACTTCAAGAAGGCTGTTGATGCGATACGCGAAGTATGAGTGCATTTGTAAATGCGAAGTAAAATAATGTATTGACGAAAAATGAAGTTAATTCAACTCTGGATTTGAACAATGTCTTCCATAAGAGATTACTGCATCACTGCAGCCATTGAAATTGATTGAGATAGGGTAAAATAAGATCAATATATGGTCTCCCTGCCCTCATTTGGACAGTTGGTTAACGTTAACGTACAGTGTATGTGCAGGTACGGAAGTTCGCACTGTACATTGCTGTGAGTTTCGAAGATGAAGGGTTCAGATGTGGTGATGCTGGGCTGTTGCGAGACTCTCTGGACTTGAACGATATCTAAGTGTGCAACATTGCCGGAGTCGTTTCCAAAATCGAATAATTGTGCTTGCGACAGCGCTGGAATTCTTTGTCACTGATGCTTATGACTCAGAAGCTATACTTCGACAGAAGGCGTTAGTTCTCGGATTACCACTAGGTCTTGGCATGACCTTGTTCAAAATCATTTAGTTAACTGAATGATGCGTGAAAATATCATCTGACATAAACTTGCCACAAAATTCTATAACATAATTAATGAACCACCCTTTTCTGTTCCCAATGAAACGTGTATATTTGTGACAAAATCTTATTTAATAATGATAACATATTCTTTAAAATAGGCCCGTATACAGCCTCAGAAGAATCTAAGCCAACAAATCTGACATGTGCCTTCTGATAAAACTACTGAAAGTATTTAATTCAATGAATCTGACACAAATATGGTTGACAAGATTGAGGAAAAACAGCACATATGCATACTTGGCTTACGAAGTGTCTCGGTTGTCTTCCTAGTACTATGAGTAAGTTGTCCAAATCCCCACTGTTCTTGGTGCCTTAGGTTTGGTACCTGTTTACTGCTTTTGGGAGACTATCCGCCTTTACTGAAAGGTAAACAGTCCTTCCGACATTCTGGGTAATGCATAAGGCTGCAGTGTTGGGGGTCTACACATTCTCCGGAAAGGTTTTGGTGGTCTTTGACTTGGCAGCGTCGCCCAATCGGCTGCGTGTAGAGCCAGCATGGGAACCCTAGTTGATGCAGCCATTTATTTCCCTGCATTATCGAGGTTGAGACAGGTGTCCTCCTTGCAACAACGGTTGAGTGTTTGAACTATCTACTTTCTGGTATCAGAAACACTTATGTGAAGGTTATTTGCACACTGTTGCGGGAATTTGTACTTAATAATATGAACTTCAAAACGCAATTTTCGCGGTTCAAGTAAAATATGAAGCCGATTCGTTTAGCAAGTAAACATAAAACTGACTACAAAACCCTTGCACCTTCCATTTTAACTGGGCGTTAAGACTCGCCCGTGGTTCACCTAACGCGGCGTATTATGGCAGATCTTCACACAGACTTGAACACAGACAGTAAATAATAGCCAATCTTGGACGACCAGCGAACGTTGGCAAAGCAAACCGATGCAAGAGTAGCACGTGGGTTTCACTTGTGTTCCCGCACATTTACTCTTAAAAAATGTAAGGGAATTCATTTTAATTTACGAGTGAAAACAATGGGAGATATGTCGGAGTCATTCAATGTTGATATGATAATAATGTAATTCTTCAGTAAAATTGATATTTTTATACCTATCCTGACTCATGATCTTTTGCTTATCTCCTTTTCCTTTGCGAATGGTAGTGGAACACTTGAATCCCTTGAAGTTCCCGAAGCGGACGTAAAAATACACTCACCCACGAGTTGCCTCCTTTTTGCCCTTTTCCCGCGCAAACAGTCATGTGACCTGCCTTACCTGTCACTCTCTCCTGAATTTCTGCCCATGCACTTGGATCTGCTGTGAAATCCAAATCCAAAGTGTCTTCAACGGGGAGGTTGGGAGGGCTTCTCGTCATGGGTCAGGATAAGTATACTCTCCCCAAAAAGAAACGCATATAGGAATTTCAACTGTATTTTTATGTTTATTTTGAAACATCTTGTAGGCTTTTTGAGTCAATGAAATATAGCGAAATTGCACACTGGGAATGCACCAACTCGAGGAAAGTCAGTTTGAGTGTCACATCGAACGAATAAGTCTCAGAATCTCGTGTTGCCCAATCGCAGCCCACTCTGCCTGGAGTGCCTGTGTGAGTTGCTGAAGTGTCTGGGTCTGAGGGTTACGGCGTCGCAGCCGTCTGTCCAGGGCATCCCACAGATGTTCGATCGGGTTTTAGTCCAGTGATCTTGAGGGCCAGGGGAGCACATTGATGTTGTGGTTCTGGAGGTCTCTAGTGTGACGTGCTGTGTGGGGCCTGGCATTGTCCTGTTGAAACAAATCCCTCTGGCGATCAATGATTGGAAGGAGGTGTGGGCGTAGGATTTCGTCACAGTACCGTTGAGCTGTCAGGTTGCCCTGGATCATCACCAAATCACTTCTCCTACGGCAGGTGATCGCTCCCCACATCATAACACAGTCCCGGCCGAATCTGTCCACCTGGGGAACGCAAGCTTCGGCGAAACGTTCACGTCGACGTCTGTACACCCGCATTCTTCCATCGCGTCGTTCCAATAGAAATCGTGATTCATCACTGAACCAGATTCTACGCCAATTCGGTAGGTTCCAGGCCTGAACGTTGGTGCACCATTGAACTCGATGTCGACGATGTTGTTATCGAAGCACAGGGCTAAATAAGGTCTTCTGGCACGTAAACCAGCCTCTCTCAACCTGTTCTTGACGGTCTGTGCAGAAAGCCTCCTCAATCCAGGTATTTGTCGAGCCGTACTGGTCGCCGTAGCTTTTCGATGACGCAGGTGATGTACCCGGATGTAGCGATCCTGCGCCCGAGTCGCTCGAGGTCGCCCACTACGAGGGGCATCTGCTACCGCATTCTCCCAGAGCCGTGAAATGGTGCTTTGGTGAACATTCATGCGTCGGGCAACTGCACGTTGAGACTGGCCAGCTTCAAGCAAACCAATGGCGATATGACGGTTGGCTTCACTTAGACGTGGCATTTTGCGTTCGTCAACAATATTCCAAATACAGTGAATAATCGACAGGCAGCGATCAATCTTTTATACCAATCATTGAGACTATCTGATCCCCAACTTTCACGAGCATTGCATGTGAATTGTGTATTCTGTGACACTACACGCCGAAATTGAAAATCATGCTGTTAAATACGGGTATTTTACGGATGGTGCGTTTTGTTGTGATGTTTCAAGACATAAACACCAAGGACTCATAAACAGAGCAAAACCTTTTGTAAAATGAATCACGTTTTAATTCATTGCTACATGAAATTGCTATTTTCTTGATGCATTTCTTTTTTGGGAGAGTATATAAAAATATCAATTTTACTTAACAAATTACATATTTTTACTTATCCTGACTCATGATCTTTTGCTTATAGAATCCGACGGATTAGTGGTGGGTCAAGCCACTTCGTGGATTCATCAGCTGTCCTTAGATACGTCCTGTACTCTCAATATAAGCTCTCGTGGATCTGTCTATCTGGCTCACCAGGTAGTTGGTTCTTGGCAATGAAGTCCCATCTAAGTCCTACATGAACTGCAGCATGGTGCCCCCTGTCGAATCTGGTTCGATCAAAGTCCAGCGCATGTATCTCTGATATTCGAGCTGCCGTGGCTAGCGCAAGCAGGAACAGAGTCTTCTGTGTCAGCAGCTCGAGAGTAGTCTGGTCTAGTGGTTCGTAGACATCACTCGTAAGATGACGTAGAGTTACATTCAGATCCCAGGCTGGAACTCTGAATTTCTTTTGCTGGTCCTCCAGTTTAAAAGTTCTCAGCAAAGCAAGTAATTCTGGTACTTTCGTCAACTTGATGCCTGTTTTCATGGTAATCACTGTACTGATGGCGGCGAGGTATGTAGATAATGTCAAACCTTTCAAATGTCTGGTCTGTCTAAGATGACACAGATATTCCGCCACTTGAGGATGAGCAGCTATCATCGCAGTGAAGCCTTTCCGCCTTGCAAAAGTCTCAAACTTCAGCCATTTGTCATCATACAGGTTACGAGTAGATCTGCATAACGAGAGGGTTACTGCCTTCGATGCCCTGGCGGAGTATCCTCTTTTCTTCAAGCCTGTTTTGATACGGTCCACACATGTAACTGGAATACTGTCGGGTTCCCGTGGACTTGCTTGGTGTGCGGATGTATGAGTAGGTTCGGCCAATCTGGTAACTTGATTACTGGACTTCCAAAATCTTCTATTGGGTCTGGGAACCATACTCTCGCTGGCCAGTAGGGCGCGACCAAAGTCAGCTGTAGGACCTGAGTCTGTTTGATCTTGAACAGTACTTCTGGAAGTAATATTGGGGGTGGAAATGCGTAGACGTTTAGTCCTTCCCATGACATGCTCAGTGCATCTGTTGCCCAGGCTTGAGTATCTGGAACTGGCGAGACAAACGTCTGTAGTTGTTTGTTGAACCTCGTGGAAAACAGGTCTATGCAAGGGGATCCTATTTCCCTTATGATGAGCCAGAATGCTTCTGTATGGAGCATCCATTCCACAGGTGACAGGTGCAGTGGTCGGGAGAGAGCGTGTGCAAGTACGTTCTTGGCTCCGGGTATGTGACACGCCTTTATCCAGATGTTTGCTTCCTGTGTGATCTGGAACAACTGGAATGTGAGCTGTAGCAGGCTTGGAGACCTTGTGGATCCTTGCCGATTTATGGAGAATGCCACTGTAGAGTTGTCCGTGTGGATCATCAGCATTCTAATGTTCAGCGAGCTCGACCATAGTTGTAAGGCATCAATCACGGCTTTCATCTCCAGCAGATTGATATGAAGATGCTGTTCTATTTTGGACCACCTTCCTGACGCAACTTGATTGTTGAGATGCGCACCCCATCCCTGCATCGAGGAGTCTGCGTAGAGATGTGTGTCAAAGGCCGGCTCTTGTAAATAGGTCCCTCCACAAACGTTCGACCTGTGCGTCCACCACAGTAGATACCTCTTGAGGTTGTCTGGCAGCAAGATTGGGTCGACGCTGTCTAGATGTTTTATCAGGAACCGTTGCAGCGGTCCTTGTTGTAACAGTCCTGTGCGAGTCAAGTCCTGCGCCAAGGTTAGTAGACTGAGTAGAACTTGCCATGATCGTAGTGTTAACGGAGAGACGACTGCTGGGGAATCATGGCTTGCATCTTGACCCAACGATCTTCTGGGACGACAATACGATTCAGTGTTGTGATAAACCTTATCCCCAGAAATTGTAGATCTTGTTTTGGTTCCAACTCTGCCTTCATAAGGTTCACCAACCATCCTAGTTGAGTGAGCAACTTGATAAGTTCAGTTATAGTTTGAGTTGACTGGCATCTTGGTGAACCTGAATTCCGTTGTCCAAGTAGAAGGCATTGCATAGACCTCGATGATGTAGATATGCGACTGTAGGCTTGGTTACTCGAGTGAATAGCCACGGAGCCGAAGATATTCCAAACGGTACGACGGTGGAACTGCTGCCTTCTGAATAGGAATCGTAGATACTTTCTTGATTCCGGATGTATAGGGATGAGAAGATACGCATCCTGTTGGTCTATGCTGGCCATGTAATCTGCTGGACGGACGAGTAGTTTGAGTTGAGGTCGGTGGATCATTCTGAACCTCTCTGGTTTCAGTAGGTAGTCTTTGTTGAACTTGCGCATGTTGTAAATCAGTCTGAACTTCTCCATGGAGTTCTTCTTGGGTACTAGAAAAATTGGGGAATAGAAGCCTGGAGTGAGATGATGCTGATCTATTATCTCTACCGCCTCTTTCATCAGTAGTGAGTCGATGGCTTCTTGTAGTTTGTCTGCCTGTTCCTCTGCATAGTTGAAGACCATCGGCCTGAGGGTTAGCGGAGGAGTGGCCTTTAGTTGTACTCTGAATCCTTCTCTTAGTACTTGGGAGACATAGCCGTCCTCTAGTATTCCCCAATTCTTCCAGTACCTTTGTAGACGTCCACCCACTGTCGTCAGTTTTACAGGAACGGCTGGGGGTGGAAGACTCCAGTTGTTCCAAAGCTTGATATCAACGTCTAGTTCCTCTGGATCCTCTAGGAGCACGGCCTCTCCCTGAGTTTCCTCTGTAATTTCCGGATGGGCGACGAAAAGATCCTTTGCCGCCTCTGAAGCTAGAGTACTTCTTGTCCTTTGCCTTCTGTATGCCGGAATATTTGGACTTGATGTTATACTTTTGAGAAGTATGACGGATGATGTTGGCCAGAGTATCTATGGATTTTATCATCATAACTTCTCTAGAGTCGTGCTTAGCTTCCTTAGCTGCATCCTCTATTTTTTCCTCCAAAGATAGTAGGCGCCTCCCATGGAGCTCTCAGTAGCGGTTGGGTGAATCTATCATTCCATGAACAGGATGCAATTAGCCCTTGTCTGCGTAGTAAAGTGAGACCTGCAGAGATAGATGTCAGATGGTCCGATAAAAAGTATCGGTCCTTCTTCTGTGTAATGAGGGCTGAGTATATCATTTTATCCTCTTCCGGACTTGAATTTTGGAATTTATTTATCAATGCTTCATTGATGGCTCTGGACCTGGCCAACCCGAAGAAGGATCTCCTTGTAGCAGTATCAAGTTGAGATAGCTTTTTGTCTTCCACTTTATACATCTTTTTTTCGGGAGTCATTGACTAACTTGATGTTTCATCCCATTCAGGCGCCTTTGTAAATGGATCCATATGATGTAAGGGGAATCTCTTCACACTAATGATGGTAAGTGCTGACTCTGGTACTTGGATGCTTTCACGAAAGCTGTGCGTAGGTTAGATATCTTGAATATAGGTTCAATCGGAGGGATAGTGACGGAGTCGAAGTCGTCGTTACGCATCATATAAGTGTAGACTTCATCTTTATCCTTAGAAGGAGACTCCAAGTTCAACCCGTTGGCAATCCACGCTGTAACCTCTGAGTCTGGGAAGACAAAGTCTGCTTGCTGATCAAAAGTCTCCTGAATATTAGTGCTAGGTCTCAACGACTCATCCATCTGCGAACATGTATCCCTTCTCGAACCTTCATCAACCTTTCGCGAACCTCTGTCTGAAGATTCCCTAAGCGAACGTCTATCTTGAGAGTGCTCTCTTCGCGAAACTCTACTGAGTGAGCTATCCCTTCGCGAACGTCTGTCGTAGGGTGAACTTCTGTGCTGTGAGCCTTCTCTTCGCGAACCTCTGTCTCGTGAATGACTTCGCGAACGTCTGTGAGAGATATGAGATCTCGACCTAGAGCGGCTAGGTGTAGGAGATGGATCCTTCAATGTTCTCGAACGTTGAGGGTTCGCAGATGTAGAACTGTGAGTAGGCATCTCATCTCTTTTATCCTCCAAGATGACAGAGTCGTCCGACTGTGTTCGCCAACGTAGTCTTGAGACGTAGTTCTATGAGGAGTAGGTTCGCGCAGGTCAGTAGGTTCGCACAGGTCCGTAGGTTTGCGCACGGTGTCGGTAGATGAGAGGCTTTTCCTACCCTTCGCTTCTTCCTGGAACCTACGTTCCATCATGGCCATCATCTGGTTGGTGTTTCATAAATTCGCCCGGGTCAAAGTTCTGCATAGGTTGAAGCTGCTGCGGTGTAGACGAAGCGTTCGCGAACACTGATGAGTTCTGTGCCTCAACTTCACTCCGTTGAGAAGTAGGTGGTAGTTCGTCAAACAGCTGTCCTGCTGTGACCGTTGTACTGGACGATCTTGTAGTTGTAGAGGTCGACTGAGTCACTGATCTCATAGATACTTCAGGTAGAAGTAATGGGGGTAATCAAAGACGTCTATTTCGTGTGGAGGGAATATCTCTTCGTTGAAGGATTTCTGCTGCGTTGATGTACTAGCACGCGCTGGTAACAGATGCTTTCTTCTGCGTTGTAGAAGAAGATGACGTTTTTTTTCTTAGCCTGAGACGGAGTCAACTGCGTTGTAGACGATCTCTTCTTGGCCCCCCTACCAGCAGACTGCCCCTGTAACACACTAAACATAGCACCAGTATTATGAACATCAGCAGTAGCAAGCAACATACGGTTTGATGGCTGATCTCCAGTTTTATCAACCGTGACTTGAGATGCCTTTCTCACCCGATCCATGGCATGTCTATGGATATAAGACAAATATTGATTAAGTTGAAGATTTGATAAATCAACACAATAAGTACAGCGCAAGCTAGAAGAATATGGTTTTATGCACGAGGGGCACTGGGGGTGAGGATCAGCAACGGATAACCTGTGCCTGCAAACACTGCAAGATTTCATGAAATGTAAACAAGGTTACATAACGATGAAAAACCAACTGAAATATAAAGAATTTGTACAAAATGTTTACATATGATGCATAGTAGTTATTGCCAAATCCATATACAGCGTATTTTGAAGAATAGGACCTAAATAAAAAGGATATAATGCCGTATACGGAACTCCAGTGCTCGCCCAACCATCCGCTTGGGCGAAAAGGGAGAGAGTGACAAGTAAGGCAGGTCACATGACTGTTTGCGCGGGAGAAGGGAACTCGTGGGTGAGTGTATTTATACGTCCGCTTCGGGAACTTCAAGGGATTCAAGTGTTCCACTACAATTCGCAAGGGAAAGGGAGATAAGCAAAAGATCATGAGTCAGGATAAGTAAAAATATGAATGTTTTGAGAGTACTTCACCACTCCCACTTCCTTATGACCGTAGTTGTTTGTACAGTAATCATTCTTGAAAGATGATTGGTGTATGACGCGAAATTTGCATGTGTATAATTTTCAAACCAAAAAACCCGGCTAGAAACAAACACAAACAACTGTGTGATGCAAGATGATTGTCAAAATTAATGGTCTACCTTCTTGAAAACCAAGAATGAAACCCCATGCACGTGTATGGGGCTACTGCATTGTGCACCTGCATGCAATGCGTTGTGTTTATGGGTGGTGATAAAGAGAAATGGTGGTGTATTCATAAGATGCCTCGCTTTGAAAAGTTTGTTAACGCTTCGTATCAAAATTGAAAGTTCAGGTTCCTCTACTTTTTTTTTTGAATAGTATAAAATGAAGACCGTTTTCCTCGTTAGTATCCACTACACAGCTTTCTTTTCACTCAAAGGGAAAACGAATTTGTTTTGGTTCAATGTGTAACCCTGAAAGGCTGCAGGTGCCAAGGACCCAGAACCATAACTGTTGTGGGTCCTGATCAAAATGTGTAGGCCCTATATTGTAGCTACAATACAGGTAATTCCCATCAATCAAAAATGTGACAACAAACAAACTGAGTTCAAGAGTTTAATTTAGAAATTCAAACTAGAAATTATTCAATGATATTTTCTGAAAAATAATACTCTTAGTTAATGGGGATGAAAAAGCTGTCGGCCATAAGGACCTGCAGAAAACAAAAGCAGTGGGTCCGAGTGATTTTCAGTTGGCTTCTGGCCTAAGGACCGTCCTTAATTTCAAACGCTGTTTTGGTTGAAGCCAAACTTGGATTATAATGTGGCGCTTGAGACGAGCAGACCCCTTACGAAAAGGATATCTTATACTCACTTGTCTCCCATATACGCAGAGACTCGAACGTTGATTTCACTGGTTTTCACGTTCACCAGCTGAAGACCGTTTATCTTGCATGCATCCACTGCACCTACGTAAGATGTGCGGAAGTATGAATAGAAGTATTCTCCTGAAACTAAGAGAAAATACAGAATATCAAACATTCTTTACGTGAGTATGCATTTAGTACGATGGGCGTTTGACTGAGTCAGATATATGTTTTGACTTGACACAAACGCCTTAAGAACTCCATAAATTCAGTTGAGAGCAGCAATGTGCACATTTGCTCTCTCTGTGTGTATGTACATATATATATATATATATATATAGAGAGAGAGAGAGAGAGAGAGAGGGAGAGAGAGAAAAAGAGAGAGAGAGAGAGAGAGAGAGATAGAGAGAGAGGAAGGGAGAGAGAGAGGAGGGAGGGAGGGAGAGAGAAAGAAAGAAAGAGCGAGAGAAGAGCCAAATTCACTCTTACATGTTTAATTTCATTAATTTCTCCTGGGAGTAGATATTTACTGAATGTAATGAAATTCAATGAAACATGTCGGAGTGAAATTGTCTCTGTGATGTTTTCAATATATTTGATTATATCTAACTGTATACCTGTAAACTTTTTAAAAACCGTTCAACTTTTTACATATGTTATGCGTATGGAGGCTATGGTGGTCTAGAATCTTCTGAGACAGGGTGCTGTCAGGGACGTTTGTAGTTCCACCATATTATATACCCCCTATTGTATTTACTTTGCAGTAATGTGTTTTGATTTTTAAACTAATGTATTTTATACTGGTCAATTCATAACATTTCTTTGTTCTTCCTTTACGTGTTTGTTCCAACTGAATTCTCTGGGTATAACTTTCTGGGTTTAAATATCCCCAGGTACCAGAAATATGAAGTTCCCGCGGGATTCAAGTATAATACAACATATTTATTTGTATTAGACAGATGTCACGTACAAGATGGAAAGCCACGCGGAGGGTTTACGAAACCACAGGCGATAGGAATTCACAAAGAGAAGGTACGCAAGTGATGAAATCATCCTTTCCAGAAATTACATCTATTTTGACATGTGCCACTTAACGGCTATCGGAGACCTCAGCAACGTGTTTAGCAAATACGTCCACACGTATATATCTATTTGATTCACGTTGAAAGAACTGCCCTACCTGTAAGTGACTGCAGAATAAAGATCAGTGTCTTCAGCTTCATCATGTCTCTTGTCTCACACGGACACCGCCTGTCGACTCCGATGTCACCATCAGACAAAGACAGTGTGATGAGTAAGTGAGCTGTAAAACCGTCCCTCTTAAGTGCTGGTCTTAGCTTTATGCTTCACAATTATCGATGTACAGTTCGTCTATGCACTCGTATCCCATTTTAGTCGTATGTATTATACATAATAACGACTTGCTTTCGGGGGAGCTATAAAGGCAGCAAAGTGTGTTCAATGATTGAAGACAGTCACGACAACTGCCTCGATGTTGTGACAAAAGGAAGAAAGGTTTTGGTGAGGTAAACATATTAACTTTTAAATCGGTATGGGCTTTGTGAGTTGGTTTACCTCAGAATCTCTGTACTTGTTCTGATTTCACTGATGCACCGGTGTGGTAGTTGAACTTGTCTGTAAACAAGATGTCTTCTTTAAACGAGTTTAACCCTTCGTTTGCCTTTAAAGCTTAGTAAAATCAGTCCGTGAATAATCCAAACCGGTTATTCTCTTACGTTGATCTTATATATTTACATAGATTCTTTGTTAGGCTGATCCTTTTAATTGCATGACATGAAGAACAACGAAACATTGCTATCACCGGTAACGCGTTTTCCGTCCGTGAAAATTCGTCTTTTCCGGAGCAGAACATGAAAATCGTTCAATATTTCTTCACCAAAACTTGGCACATAGATAGGTCTGATAGTCAACTGGTGTCTTTTGGTAGTTTTGGGATTTCTGAATAAAATATTTTTTTGCGTTTCCAGGGCAACAAGTTTGACTTCGACTGAAATTTGTGATGGTACTCTTTTCCGGAGCAGAACCTTTCAATTCTCTCCTTCAACGTTGTGGGTATTCAAGAATCTAATGCTATAAATCAATGGTACCACCCTGTTTCCAGTATCAACATTACTGAGGTACATCAAACAGAAGAAGCACTCAGGCAGCCTGTTGTTGATACAAGCATGTTAGTATATGAACGATGTTTTCGTTAGATCAATGTGAAAAACAATTTATATATCATATTGTCTTACTGAGCTGAGAGAGGGAAGAATGTACACTCAGAAAGTTATCATCTGTTACAAGTACCCTAATCTAATAATCCAATATAGGTGTTGAAAATTCAGAAATAATGAGGTCACAAAAATGTTTTCAAAAGTGTTCTTGATCTCATTGTTTTCGGAAAGAAAATTGTTATATACACGCCAAAACATTTGACTGATACATCCGGCCTTATATACATCATATCTTGACTATGTTGAACACCAGTGCTTGTCACCTCCCATTAGACCATGCGGTAATACTCATGCAGTTGGTGTTTGAACACGTGGACACTGTTTCAACAGTGGGGTAAATCTTGTTTGTTTTTAGTAAGATGATACAGTCTGTGGCTAGTTCCATATCAACAAGAAGTTTTGGAGGGTGGGATGTGTCATACTTAGTACCGGATTACACTTTTACTGCTGATGAGAGATCCTAAAAGATAGAGACTTTTCAGGCATTTTTCGCACCAACTGTCGTGAGTCTATGTTAAGGTAAAGGTATCATCTCAGCGCTAAAATAACTTTGTATTGGGATTTGTATGTTATATTTGGGATTACACTTTCTTACAGATTCTAGTCCTTTTTTGGTTGAGTCCCATCCGGGATTCGAACCCGCACCCTCAGAGTCAGGCACCTAATCGCCAGCACACAAAGTCAGACGCCTAGACCGCTCAGCCACCGCAGTTTTCACTAAAATGGAAGTCGGACAACTGGTAGTCTAGACTGCGGACTTTGTGTACCCCTCTGATAAGTATAGATTTCTGGTATGTCCAAGGGATGTAACTCTGTACTCTGAACCACCATTGGTGACTGGGGTACCCAAGCCCCTTCAGAAGTTAAGAGAAATACAGAAACAAATAGCCATCTTCAAGATATCTTTTGGACAGACCGTATGAGATGGGTTGGGTTGATTATGATTTGAAAATAATTTTTTATCATGGCATGGCAGCTCATTTTGGAGGGAGATTTGAAGGGAGAGTGTTAGGTCAATCTGGCAAAACCCATGAGCAAGAAGACAGACACAAAAGTTGATATGTCTAATGAGTGAGTGAGTTGGATTTTAGGCAGCTTTCAGCAATATTCCAGCAATATCACGTCGGGGGACACCAGAAATGGACTTAACACATTGTGGCCATGTGGGGAATCGAACCCGGGTTTTCGGCGTGACGAGCGAACGCCTTAGCCACTAGGCTACCCCACCGCCCCGACAGATACAGAACTATAACGAACATACATGTGCTGATGTAGACCCTACACAACATATTGAAACAGACCGACAGCAGTGAGGTGCTTTTCAGGTTCTTTTGAAACAATATATGATAAAACAATGAACGACTATTTTTCTTTGGTTAACTCACATACAGTCAGCATCAAACAGCTGTTGGGATCTAGGAGGTATTGTCATCGCATTTTGATTTTGAAAGCCGCTAGCTAATTTCAGCTGTGGAATGAATACAGAAAGATCATTATATATTAAAGTGATACTTTGTCAAGTTCTTATGGCACATATCACCAATATCTAGAACAACTACCTTCTTTAAACAGCTATTTTATTTTGGCTAGTCCAACGTCTTAGCGTATCCTTAATGTATAATAAGAACTCATAAAATCAAAGTTGAGACGGTGGGCCAGATTGGCATTGCCATAGAAAACAGACTGTATTGTGTGTGTGACTCTTCCGCCGTTGCACTCATTATATGCCGTTTCATTATATTATATATTTTATTACCATAGATTATTGTCTATGTCGCAAAAGTATTTCAAATTTAAAAAACCATGTACATTTAAACGCCTATTTTGTATTTTCAATCTTAGGTTACAAATTAACAAATTATGATAGCTTTTGCACCATGTGTGGTGATGTTTTGTTGGGAAATATTAGGTCTGGATATTGCCTTAATTCTCATATTGCGATATATTGGTTTACCAGGTAAAGGTTTGTGCCCAAGTGTGTACATCCTAAATCCATAATAGTTCTCTGTGTGCGAAATTATCTTCTTAGCTGCTGTTACATCATACTTTAAGGCTCCCTGTCCCCATTGTGATTGGCTGTATGGCAATGGTTTACAGGTAAATAAAATGATATAGAGCCTTGATGTGGAATGTTTAATTGAAGTGTCGAAACAAAGTTTTGCGAACATAATGATAAAGGTAATAGTATGGCATGATGTTCATGGTCGGTGTTGTTTACTTCAACAGAATGCACTTCAATACAGTATGTAATCATTGTTACTGTATGTGATTCATTCAGATTCAACTCCAATATAAACATTTGTTAACATGAACTATTGCAAAATGAAAAAAAAAACATGATTTAGATGAACTACTTGAGTTTAAACTCTCATAACTTAGACCCTTGACTAGAATGTCACTATACAGTCCTACAAAAGTTATAAGACTTAGGCCTTTATGATAAATTGATATCATATGTCCCATTATGAAACAAACGAAAATAACAAAATAATATGAATTGTGAAATGGTCAATCAGAGCCAGAGGCTCTACTAATAAGCCCAAATAAACAATTGGTCCATTTGAGGCCACTTAATTCCTCCAAAAGGTCACATATGGAACCAGTCAAACCCACAAAACTTTAAGCATTTTGGTGGAATATTTGGCACTTTTGGAGCCACTTATCAAAATACTTCCACTTGTAAAATGTTACATGAAACCAACAGATATAAAAGTATATTTGGCACTTTAAGAGCACATTTTGTTACCATAGAGATCAAGGGCAGATAATTCAACGGAGCTAAGTCTGGATGACCCAATATATTGCAGAATCTGAACCATATCGCGATAATCGTATCGCGAGATACTGTAACGGTGTATACCGGTTTACCGGTAATATTGCACAGCCATAGGAAATATATACAAAAGCAAATAAGCTGTTGCTGTTGCGGGCCTTCAGCAACGAATATTATCAGGGTTGATCATTTTCAACAGCTGAACAGTTCACCTTTGAATACACAATGCCATTTAGAAATTGGTCAAATGTAACACGTTACATTTAGAATTACACTTTCTCAGTAAAGAACACATTCTAGTACTTCTGTTGGATTGAGTCCCATCCGGGATTCGAACCAACACCCCCAGAGTCAGGCAGCTGATCGCCAGCTTACGTTACAAATTATGGAAGCCTCGGTGGCTGAGTTGGTTAGGCTTTGTTAGACTTTGTGTGCTGGCGAGTAGGTGCCTGATTCGCTTTAGAAGACACTTCATATTATTATGGTAAGAGTGTTATTGCCTTTTTATGTTGCTCTTTTCGATAGCCGTCTGTGACCGTATGTTTTGAAAGGCCTGCTTCTTCTATGGGGGTGCCCAGTCAATGCCCTTGTCTATTCATTCATCATAAACATGCGAATACAGCGTATTGTAAAAATATGTCGTTCAAGCGCATTCGCATAAGGCGCTATTACTTAATAGCCTCACCCAATACACAGTGATCTAACCATATCATGAAAGTCTAACAACTGGCAGGGTAGATCCAACACTCTCAGAGCGAGGCACCTAACCGACAATACACAGTGATCTAACCATAACATGGAAGTCTAACAACTGGCAGTGTAGATCCCACACTCTCAGAGCGAGGCACCTAACCGGCAATACACAGTGATCTAACCATATCATGGAAGTCTAACAACTGGCAGGGTAGATCTCACACTCTGTGAGCGAGGCACCTAACCAGCAATACACAGTGATCTAACCATAACATGGAAGTCTAACAACTGGCAGGATAGATCCCACACTCTGAGAGCGAGGCACCTAACCGGCAATACACAGTGATCTAACCATATCATGGAAGTCTAACAACTGGCAGGGTAGATCCCACACTCTCAGAGCGAGGTACCTAACCGGCAATACACAGTGATCTAACCATATCATGGAAGTCTAACAACTGGCAGGGTAGATCCCACACTCTGAGAGCGAGGCACCTAACCGGCAATACACAGTGATCTAACCATATCATGGAAGTCTAACAACTGGC